ATCCTGTCTTACGTTGTTCCATTCCCACTCTCTTTTTATCCATATTAAATCTCTCTCTTAATTGTGCACATGAAACCATTGAACACTAAACCCCTCTGCAGTCAATTGTTCTCTGGACTTCATCTTAAGTTCTCCACCTTTCTGTATTACTAGAGCTTGAAAGGTTCACCATTCCTCTTTGCCTGCTGTTTCTTTTCTATAAAACGCTTCTTGTGCAGGGACCAGTAAAGGTATTTTCAGAAAACAGAAAACTCAAATAAACATTTGGCCCCCCCAGAGAGTAACGTCTATAGGACAAGGGTCCAAAAAGTCAAGATGGCGGCAGCAAGCACACAAGGAAAGCCCTGTTCCTTTTTCACATGCACTGCATGCGAGACGCACAGAAAAAGGGTTGGGTCTCCAGTCACCCAGGTGCAGCCCCCACTTTTACGTTTTTGCACCTCTCAGGCAGATTCTCTTGCCCTCAGGATCTCTCAGGGGCCTAAAAAGGCCCTTCTCCCCCATTTTGATTGTGTTTTGCTTCCTGCGAATTTCAAAATAACAGTTAAAACTTTGCTTTTCTGTTTGTGATTCACTGGTTCAGCCCCCACCCCCTCGTTCCGCATTCATTCACTTTATTTTTCTTCCTCTGTTTTTTCCTTTTCTTCCCCCCTCAGCAGTCTCTGCTTGGTCAATCCATAATTATCTCAAGTTGGGGAATTATTGCTACATACTTTGTTTACCATCTCGCCAGAGGAGCCAGTTTCACAAGCCGTGACTATAAAATCCACCAGCCATCATAGGGAAGCCATCATCCTCCAGGGAGCTGCAGCGATGAAGGCATTAGTGCTCACCCTCCTCTTCCTCCTCCTTGCAGCTAGCGAGGCCAAAGTATTTAACAGATGTGCACTGGCTTCACTTCTGAAATGGCAGGGAATGGATGGATTTCATGGCTACAAATTAGGCAACTGTGAGTTCACTCTCTTTCTCTCAATCTGAGCAATGTCTCAGGTTTGCAAGGGGGATGCAAAATAGGGCCCTTCTTTTCAAGGAAGAGTTCAGCCAGCCCGCCCAATGAATAAAAAGCTCTTTTCAGTTTTCTTAGAATGAGAAGATGTGCTTTCTTCCCATCCCAAATCGGGGAGAACTCACAATTCCCCTTGCACTAGCACTCTTACTTTAATGAGGGTGATCAATATCCAGTTTGTTGCCTGTTTGGGACAAGAGCGGAACTGCAGTACAATTAGGCCTCTTTTGCCTCTGTATTGTCTTTTTACAACCACTGGCTGAGCTAATAGTTTATTTGGTTTTTTTAAGAAAAGGGGGTTATCCCTGCCAGGATAAGCATCCTCTGAGAGGGAAGTTCCTTCAGATCGCCCCAAATCGTGTCAGTTTGGAACTGGGTTGAAGGGGCCATCCCAGATGATTTTCCACATGTGCAGCAGTGCAAAAGACCCACAATGGAAAAGTACCTCCTCCCTGGAACGCCAGGATTAGGGAGGGAGAAGAAAGGAGAGGTGGCATCATCTGCCACTAAGAACCCCAGGAATACCTTTGAGACAAGACTTAGACTTATTCCAAGTTCCCCTGAAATTTCCAAAATGTGGGACTTCTTGGTCCTTCCTTGGCTGGGGAAAGAATGAGAAGATGGTTAAATCTTCTGTTCCAAATGTTGGTATTAAAAAACTCAGGGTAGCACTTTGATTTACAGCAGAGGCCTTTTCCAGTCCTTTCCCTCTTTGCTTTCTTCCAGGGGTCTGTATGGCTTACCATGAAAGCAGGTACAACACCCAAGCTGTGGGGCCACCAAACCTGGATGGCAGTCGCGACTACGGGATTTTCCAGATAAACAGCCGCTGGTGGTGCAACAATTACAAGGGTCGTACATCTAATGGCTGCAATAAGCCCTGCAGCGGTAAGCCACGTAGTGTAGATAAAGGAATCAACAGTTCTTAGGAGAACTGTTAAGATAAAATTGATGAGAAAGTCATGACAACTCAGTCCTGGGAAAGGAGGAGCATCAGAAAGAGACTGAAAATACTGTAAGCCCACCTTGATTCTGTTTGGTATAAAAGGTGGGAGAGAGAAGCTTTGACAAACTTTCCAAGTTCTTTTGTTGTTGTTATGTTCTACGACAGTGAAGTAGCGTTCCTGTAATCCTTGAAGTGTCTGTTTCCTGACCTGACCTACTTCCAAGGACTGACATCTATTTCATTAGAAAAGAAAAGAAAAAAGTGAAATGCCCCAAATAAGTCAGGTGATACTTTCGAAGGGACGTTCAGTTGCACCCAACTCTTCATGACTTGGACATCAATTCACCAGCACTGTCTGTCAGAATTGTTTCTTTGAGGTCTTCTGAGTTCCTGCTTGTCTCATCAGTGTCAGTATCTAGCCACCATGTTTTCCGCTGGCCTCTTATTATTCCTCAATCTGTTCCCTCATTTAGTGCCCCATTTCCCACTTGTCACAACACCTCTAACTTCCTCTACATAGAAATATCTCACGTTGTGCCCGCAGATCACCCACCACCATACTGTGTCTGTTCTAATGAGCAGCAGGCAGGGCCACATTTGGAGAAGTCTCCCTCTCCCACCCACATCAACAGCCTCACAATCTCCCATACCTATCTGTAGCACCTGCAGTCTAAGGGGTAGCTTGCTTGGCAGACCCACCTGATCCTATCGTCTCTGAAATTAGTCAATATCTTGCCAGAGGCACAAGTTATGGGGACCAATTCCAATACCGGAAATCCACCTAGCTAAGGAACCTGATCCAGTAGTTTCTGCCCTTTGTCAGAGAAATCTGGTTCTTGGACTCAGGTGAGAGACAGTTCTGCCTCTCTCTCCTTCCCAAGATTGTGACAAGACTGTGGGGAAGTCATGCATATCCAGCACACTCAGCTCCAAATGGGAAACAAATTCCCAGTGCTCTGCATTTTTCAGACCTGTCACTCTGCATGGTTAGAGCAAGAGAAAAGTCATTTCATGGTGTGGACCTGCTGTACAAGAAGTAGGTTATGCTGTTAAAGATGTGAATGTATTGCGTACAAACTAATGAAGTCCTAGGACTAAAACTCCTATTGGGTAGGAATCTGTTTGAAATAATATTATGCAAATCTTTGGAAATATATTTGAAACATGTGGGCTTGGACATATTCTAATTTGCCTCTTTTGGCAGCTTTCACCGATGATGACATCACAGATGATATTGTCTGTGCTAAGAGAATTGTGCGTGATCCCAATAAGATGGGTGCCTGGTGAGTCAATCTCTCCTTAATGTCTTTCAACTTGTAACATTCAGTAGCAACTGAACTTATTGTTGTGGTCATCTGAGTTAATTAAGTTTCTTTAGACTGTTGTACAACTTTAACATTGGTGGTAAGATACGCTTTCTGAATATGGCAAGTTATCTTTTTATTGCTACACCTGCATTCTGGTTGCTTTAGAATAGGGTTTAACAGTCCTTTAAACCCAGGTTTAAAAGTAGACTGACACACACCCTATGGAGGGTGGGGGCTGATGCTGACTGTAGCTGGAGAATTCCCTGCCTTTCAGTTGTGATGATGATGAGCTCCACAGGATCAGAGATCTGGTAGGGAAAGAACACGGTGGTGAGAGAAGCCGGGAGAGAGAACTCTCAAGCCTCCAATCCTGGGATGAAAAGGAAAGGGGGCTGCAGCAGCAGATCATTAGGTGGGAAACCCTTAAGCTGGCAATGAACGTCCAAAAGGAAACGATACAGATCTTATGTGGTCAACACTCAGAATTATTTAAAAGTTTCTTTGCTGTGTGCCCTTCTGATGCATTTTGAGTAGGATTTCGTGCACCCTTTGGTGCTCACCAAATTCTTCGCAGTTTAACTCCTTTCCCTGGCCAGCATGGACTCTGGCAAGGTTATATGGGAGTCCAAAGTATCTATTGGGCCTCAGTTGCATGTGGGCTTCATTGTGAGAAATAAAAAGTCAGGGCTATGTTAGCTAAAACAATAATTTTACTTTGGTTTTAATCTGGAATTCATTGGAAAACTAGCACAGGAACTTTATCAGTCAATGAACAGGAAAGATGAATGATCATTGTCACTAGCTCACCTGAGAAATTCCTGAATATCGTGAAGTAGACCTACAAGAAACATCTGAAGATATGCAACATTCTTATTCTTACTTTTAGGGTTGCCTGGAGAAATAACTGCAGAGGAAAAGATCTGTCAAAATGGACTCGTGGTTGCAAGCTCTGAGATTCATGATCCTGCATTTCTCTTCATCTTCCTGTGATGAAAATGATACTATTCCTTGTATAATCAACATTTAATAATCGGATTCTATGCTTGTATGCCATGTGTTGGGAAGAATGGGTTTCTTTGCATACAAATGATGCTTTTATAAAGATTTCTGGATAGAAAAGAAGGAAAGTGTTTTTTGGTTTGAAACATCTTCAAAAAATGCTTGGCCAGACAATTTCTAGGTTGTTGTTGTTGTTGTTTAGTCGTTAAGTCGTGTCCGACTCTTCGTGACCCCATTGCGCCAGGCCTTCCTGTCCTTCACTGCCTCCCTGAGTTTGCTCAGTTTCAT